CCAAACCGCCTAGTCGTTATACAGATCTTGTAACTCTTAAGGTCTAACGAGTGACATTTTAAGAACTGTTTGCGTATAGCAGAACTGATTCTCTTCTTTTTTTTCTGTTTTTTCTCTCTCCTTTTTGTTTTTCTTTTGAGGGAAGGATGTTACGATATGTCAATTTCTGTAGCTGTAATTGTCAGCGGACTTTCTGCCGTACATATAAATTTTGTATTTTGAATCGTTAGTTTAGTCTTCTATCGTTAGCTGAGTGAATAAAGCTTCGAAACAATAACAAGTTGACGAAGCTTGAAAGAGGGTCCCAACAAACTCCTTACTACAAGACTTTGTTCAAAGCTGTCTTCGGTAAAGTGTTTTACACAAACGCGCGAATGCTTCGAGAGTATGAAGCATTCTCTTTTCATTTGTACAAGCCATTCTCTTTTAAGTTTTGGGTCCTAGGGGAACTTGAAAGTGCTAACTTTTCATTTTCACTGGTTTTCCTCTGAAATTCACTGTGAACTTGAAACGAAAACAGTTTCAAAGTTCCTGCATTTCTTGAGCAAAAACTGAACCTTGTACAAGCCACGTGACCGGAACCTACACCCTTCCCATACACTTGCACTCAGGCACCCAGACGTGTATGAGAAGAAACGTTTCCCGCTTCATTAGTTCGCCAGCCAGCGGAAACCACACTTCATGTCATTTTTGGGGAAAAAATCAGCTCATATGTGTCTTTTTTAGTTCAATTCATTGAATCGATTTCGTTAAAACCAATCTATTTCATGTGAAGTTTCCTAGACAGTGCTCTTGTGTTCCATTTTTTGAATTAATTTCTTTAAAGGAAGAAAATGTTATCTTTCAGTTAAATAATATTGTGAAACTGAAATATGAGAGTAACATATTAATTCCTGTTAATAATTCATTTTTATTCTCTCCATTTTATTGTCGACGGTGGAGAACACAGCTTGTATCACTTTAATTTCAGTTCATCGCAACAATTTCTTTTGATTCAACTTACTCAGGGCGCTCTCCATTCGACCAAAAGTTCCGGTGTGAGTTTTTGGAAATTTCCATGGGCGAATGGCACAGAATTTTCCAGAGTGGAAAACGATAAGCCTCACAGTTTTGTTCGCTTGAGATTTTGAAATGACTTAGAGGTTTAAATCGCAAATATAGAAGCAAACAGAACACTGATAAGTCGACATCGTGACCTTTTATTGACCACAACAGCAGGGACCTTAAACAAACCAAAACGGCAGCGAAAACGTCGCAAAACAAAGGGTTTAATGAGTCGTACGTTGCCTTTGCACACGTTATAAGTCTTTGTACATTTCTTAGCCAGCCTATGCAAAACAAACAAGTAAACCACGGGGGAATTATTTTTATCAATCGCTTTCTTGACGAATTTAGCTGTGGCTGGTATTGATCGACAAATAAGTGGAAAGATTCTTAAGTAAAATATTAATCCATTTTCGAAAACGCGTCGCCGTTATCATTGCGTGAGATGTCCAACTCGCTGTGATCGTGGCCAAAACAGCTAGCACTGAATCGAAAATTGCGAATTTGCCCAAATTCCGACAACCTCGTCAGGTATACCCAAATTTTCGAACATTTTTTTTTTTTTTCTGGGAATTTCCGTTCCATTTGACTTCCATCCCGAAATTTCCGGAATTTTAGGTTGAATGGTTCGTTTTTCGGAAATTCGACAATTTCCGGATTTTCTGGAACTTTTCCCGGAAATTTACTTACCATTTGTCTCCGTTTCGGAAATTTCGAGATTTTTGATTGAATGGAAAGCGCCCTTAATGTACAGTTACCTGGTGGTCTCGTGTTTTTTATTTTTCCTTAATACATTTCTTAAAGGAAGAAAATGCTGTCTTTTATAGAAAAACTTTTTTGAGTCTGTAATAAAGCAATAAAATACTAATTCCTATTAACAATAAAATATTAATTTACGTAATCAATTTATTTTAATCTTTTTCTTTCCATGCGTTTGTTGGGGGAACCAATCAGTTTGTAAGTATCATTCTTTTTTTTTTTTTTAATTCATTGCATCAATTTTGTTTTAAATCAGTTTAATTAATTTAAAGTTGCCTAACTTCATGTTCTGTCGAGTGAGACCATTGCATGAGAAATGCTGAAAAAGTTCCATTTGCTTTTGGAATTCATCAGTGTATTTTCTAGTACTTTGTCTATCATTATGCGCTCAGAGATC